TTCATAAACGTGCACTTAGTTTATATGATGCACATCATTTGCAATCTGCCTTTTAGAATATTTAAATTTGTACTATTGATCATATTCTGAGTAAATTAACTGTGAACCTCCATGACTGCTACTACCTTTACACTGTATTCTATATTCTATGCCCTTGCTCTGTGTGCTTATTTTGACCTGCAATAAAAAATCACTACCAAATAATCTGTTATTACACAAGAGAAATAGCTAGATCAGCTTTGGAGAAAATTATTTGCCTATTCAATTAGGGCAAGAAACTTTTGACAGACAAGTTAAATATTAATTACACACAAAAAAACCCATGTTAAAATAATATTATTAGGGTTGCAAAGTCAGGCACTCAAACGTTAGGATGTGCCAGTATTAAGGTTGACTGTGCAACCTTAATTTGCCCTCCTTGTGCATATGCATTATGATAGTCTTTACATGATCACATATTATTTTTTCCATAGGACCTCTGGCTTATTGAGTGCACAGGAAGGATCTGTGCACTCAATAAGCCAGAGGTCCTATGGAAAAAATATGTGATCATGTAGGGATGAATCTGGGTTGTGTAATGCAGGAGGCTGTTGTCCATAGGATTCCTGCCTCATTTGTTGCAGAGGTTGGAATGTGTGTATTGAATGAGGCAGGGGATTGCAGGAAGAGAAAAGAGGAGCTCCTAGTTCAAGCAGTGGAATGCCACCCTGGAGAACCAGCATTTTCACAGGTGGCCATTGTGTGTTCCTCATTTTCTGGTTGTCCATCTTGAAATACTTAGCACTTCTGCAGTTCAGAGCCCAAGGACTCACAGTTGCAACAGAGGTCAACAAGAACTCTACTCTGACTATGTAAAGTGCTATAAAATGCTAAGTACTCTGAACAATGAGGCCTTATATAGAACATCCAAAATCAATAGACAGTTTTCACCTTAATCTTTGTGTTTTAGTTCCCCATTTGTAAAATACCACCTCCTCACTTCACAAGAGTATTTTAATAATAAATTGTTTGAGCAGCACTTAGAAACTATTGTGATGAGCGCCCTGTAACTTTTTATTTATATGTTCCCAGTTAGTATCTTAAAAATAAGGAATAAAACCAATCTGAATTCTTTTAAGGTTTGAGCCTCCAGGGCGATTACAGATCATTTAATTTAGTGAAGAACTGTGACTGGCACAAGGAGTGTTAAAATTAAAGACTTTATTGAATATAAAATAGTTAAGCAAACAGGTATTGCAGTACACCTCTACCCCGATATAACGCCACCCGATATAACACGAATTTGGATATAACGTGGTAAAGCAGTGCTCCGGTGGGGCGGGGCTGCACACTCCGGTGGATCAAAGCAAATTCAATATAAGGCGGTTTCACCTATAACACGGTAAGATTTTTTGGCTCCCGGGGACAGCGTTATATCGAGGTAGAGGTCTATAACCATACACTGCATTCCTACTCACTTCCTAATAAGAAATGGTACATTTAGAGGTGATCGGTTCCTTAATGGGTATAATTCTTCCTCTACCTTGATGGTGGATGGCCATACCGAATCTAAAATTAGTGTGCTACCATTTTATAATCAACTATAATAATGCCCCTTAACATTAAATCCACCTTTTACCATAAATACATATCCACTGCCATAATTAAATATTTTTTACTTTCTCATTGGCTATTTAACATTAAACATCATCTTAATTAACATCCACATAAATGCCATACCAATAACTATCAATATAGGTAAGATTTTCCAAAACATTAACATTTTATGTAGAGCACTTGTGAAAACCAGTTAGGACCAAAACATGTTTACAACATGACCTGGGGTTATGCCCTAACTAATCTCCAATTTGCTTCTGAATTGACTCACTTCACTTTACTCATATTTTACGAGGCCTCACTTGGCTACTTTCCAGCCTATTTTTAGAAAATAGAATTTTGGACTTACTAACATTTCTATATAAATATGAGCAAGCATCATTTCCATAGGCCCATGAGGAAATTAATAATTTTCTCTTCAGAGCAGGTTTTGAACTGGTGTGCAGTAGTTAAGGCCTGGGGCCACTCATTGGACAATTAGGGAAAAAGAAAATGTTGAACAGCTGCTTAGCAAGTGAGCACCATCTATTCTGTGCATTGAGTGAGGCAGGAGTCCTGTGGAAAAAATAGTATGTTATAACTGTCTCATAATTCATATGCACACAAGTGCCAATTTAAGGTTCAAGAGGCAACCTTAATTCTGGCAATTCCTAACTTTTGAGCTCCACAGCCTTAATGTTCTTTGAACATAATTTTTTGAGAGTAATTTCCTAATTTTATAAAAAAGCAAACTGAAAAAACAGAAATTCCATCATGTGACACCATACTGACATCCATGTGGGTCCTCAGCAGGGTTGGAAACTTTAGATCCACCCTACAGACCTCTGCTACTTGAGCTAATGGAGTAACTTATAGCAGTTACTTTATGTGGACCAGCACAGCAGGGAGATGAGACACTTTTTGCCAGAAGGTTTCATAGACATTTGCTGATAGCAGAGGAATTGAGAGACTCAGGAATCTTGGGTTCCGTTCCAGGCTGTGGAGGGAAACATTCTATAATGGCTCCAGACTCTTCTGCCCCTCCCCCTCCATTTTGTCCCTGTCCCAATCCCAGTCTCCACTCCTTAGGCTTCTTATCCCCATCTCCTTGTTTAGCCAGTCTGAGTCTCCCTTTCCAGTTACCGACTTCCAGCTCCTCATCTGGTTTCTCTCCCACCCGTTGGTCTCCAGTGCACACACCCCTTCCAGCTCCCCACCCCCATGGGTTCCTCATTCCCGTGGTCTCATTCAGTCTGTTTCATTTCCCCACAACCACCTTCCTGCTCCTTGTCTTAATCTCTTTGCCAGCAACTCCTCGTTCTCTCCTTGCACCCTGGAAAGTGGGGAAGAAACATGGGGCAGCAGTAACAACCAGATATTTTAGTGTAGTCTAGCTGCACAAACCCTAAATGTCATAAGCCACTCAGTAGCAGTAATTTCAACTTGCTCGCTGTTTACAGATTTTCACTTGGAGATTTCCTCATGTGTAAGGTGTGGTATGATATGGGAGAGAGCATAAAGGTGCTTGAGAAGAACCAGTGTTGTCCTCCGTAATCATTGTAATGCAGGACAACTGGACTTCGTGTTTTGGTAAATTTTCTTGATGGCCTTGCCAGGCTGATTTTTAAACTTCCATAGTGCATATTATACATTCTTTTACACCACCATCTGGGCAGGACTCTCACTCCTGGTCACCACCTGCTTTTCTCAGAGGAGCTGAGGCCCAGGAGTGAGACTCCAGTGAGATACCACTTCCAGAGAAGCAGAATTACAAGCTAAGTAATTCTCCCTTTTTAATATTTGAATGAAACTCACATACTTCTGTTCCCTTATATACCTTGCTCTGTTCAGTTGTCCTTTGCTCTTTAGACGACATATGTGATATGAGGAAACCACACTGGCACAACAGCGGGTCCAAATAAACTAATCACTAACTATAGATACACATCTAAGTTCTAGCTACCTGTATACACTGCTGCTCTGGTAGGGTTGTGGTGGCTTCTGAAAACCTAGAAGAAAGTGAAGGCCATTACCTTGGAATAAGAAGCAAATATGCATTGAGTCAATGTCTGAAGGCTACCTAAGAACGTGATTCAGAAGGAGCCTTTTAACAGTCTGTTTGATCAAAGGGCCCCTGGTTAATTGTTGGTGTATAAATGAAGACAATGTAGTTACACCTCAGATGGACGACTTACATTGTATTTTGTATTGTGTTTTGTGAAAGGTCTGTCAGTTAATTGACACTTTCTAGGGGACTTGGTACTGTAGCAGATTTACTGTGCTGGCTGGGTCTGTGCATGGCATATCCATAGACAGCCTCTAAAGGGTGTCAGAGTAGCAGACGTGTTAGTCTGTATCCGCAAAAAGAATGAGGAGTACTTGTGGCACCTTAGAGACTAACAAATGAATTTGAGCATAAGAAGTGGGCTGTAGCCACAAGTACTCCTGTTCGTTTTTCTAAGGGGTGTGGCTTCTCACAGATGGAAAGTGCAGAAGCCAACCGAGAGGAAGATGAAAAGTGTGTTTCCTGACTGGGGGGCGGGGTCAGAAGTGGAGAAATAAATTGTTTGTACCAGCTGCAGGAAGGGAGCTGCCTCTGTACTCTCCTGCAGTAATAATTACATATGGTTCTGTTGTGCAAATGTTATTCCAGGGATTCGGTATGGCTGTGCTTAACCCACTAATAAGGAGACCACAGGATCATGTAACAGTTATACTAGAAGGCAAATAAAGCTGTCTTTTGATGCTGGCTCCCTTTAATGTCCACAACATTACTAAAACATTGAAGGTCTCACAAACGATCGCCTGTGTCTTGTGAGGAATGACAACTACTTGTGCCTTATTGTTATACTGAAATACCCCAATCCTAGCCAAGGGTTTAGAACAAGCTTGTTAATGTTATTGAATATATAGCAATAAAAATGTTTGGGTATTTTTAAAGTAAACTAAAAGTACACACACAAGAGAAGCTCCAAAAAGAGTATAAGTGTTTAAAAATTTGGTCACCTTTCCTAGTGTACTCAGCAGAGGAAGGATTCCCAACCAGCAGGTCAGAATCTGTAGCCAGGTTCTTTGAATATTAACCTTATCCTGAACAAGTGATGTACAGTGGGTAGTGTATTAATGTTTTATTGTAACTTTGCCTTCACAAAGGTTTTAAAAAAACACAGCCTACAAAAGCCTGATCTTTCACTTTTCTGCAGTGGAAGGGATTCAGGCTTGGGTATTTACAGTACTTAACTTTACCTTGAATTCCACAGTACATAGCAAGGAGTTATTTAAAAAAAATAAATCCCTGATACAATGCAATAACCCATGAGAGTATGGTGTAATTTTTTTAAAAAAGAAATGCACTAGCTCTTTGGCTCTTTTGGACTCTTCTTGACTTTTATCGTTAAAATTCCTTTTTTCCCCTCTGGTTTTAGTGGTGGATGGATTTCTGAAAACTGATGAAAGGCAAAGATTAGCAAAAGAAAGAAGAGAAGAAAGAGAAAAATACCTAGGTAAGTTGACCTCTGCATTTTTTGAAAGCTATATGTGATTTTTAGTGGGGCTTACATTATTAAAAGGAAAATAATCGTGTTTTTCCTCTTCTGAATTTTAAATGTTATATTTCAGTCTACTTTTGTTTTTCTGCCATCTTGAAATGGTTTAAATTGCTGAAGAATTTTTGCAGAATCTAATTCACTTTCAAACAGAGAATCTAATCTTCTAGGACTCTTTCCATTGATTTCAGTGTACAGCACGTCACTTTCTACAATTAACAATCCATTATCTTCAATAAATGTGCTATTGAATATTATGACATGAATATATGTGTGAGATACTGACTTTTTGGAAGCTGATGTATATGATTCTGTCAAAAAGTCAAGCTTTGAATGATATTTACAATGAAAGATTGATTGGCTGCGGCATTGTGATTTTTAGCCTCTGAGAGTTAACAACTTTAAAATTAAAGTGGAGTTAGTGAGAGTGGCATAAACTAGATATTTCCTCTGCCTTGCTGTCACATGAATTAAAGTTTACAAATTCATTTTTCAGTCATGGGAGGCAAAAATTATTTTCAGACTCATTGGTGTCGTTTCTGATGCTTTAAAGAACAACTTAAACCTCATGGGAAATGTTGTGTGTGCGCAAAATATTTCTGAATAATTCTTTCTACCTCATTATTTTAGGCAGGGCAGGCTGCCCAACACTTCCCATTAAGACATCCTGCTTTCAGTTGCTTATAACTTTGCCAAACTTTAAACATTTGGACTGAAATTTGCCATGACAGGTATTTTTGGAAGATTTCACCAAAATGATTCAGTCGTTTCCAAGAACGAAGCTAGAGAAAATGTTGTTTTGCTCATGTCAAAAATCTCTGGCGACCTTTCCTTTGAAAAGCTGCAGTGCCCCCATTTTTTGGAGTAGGGACTTGAAATTTGGCAGGGGTGTGGCCTTTGTGTGACCTTTATACTGCAATTAGACACCCGCAGCTGACCCTTGCCAGCTGACTCAGGCTCACAGGGGCTCAAGCTAAAAGGGCTGTTTAATTACAATGTAGAGGTTCCAGTTCAGGCTGAAGCCCAAACTCTGGGACCCTCCCACCTCGCAGGGTCCGAAAGCCTGCGCCCCAGCCTGAGCCGGAACATTTACACTGCAATTAAACAGCCCCTTAGCTAGAGCCCCTTATCCCGAATAGGCTGGCACGGGCCAGCCAGGCATGTCTAATTACAGTGTAGACATAGCCATTGTCATGGATGTGCCCTTTCCTGTCTTTGTGAAAAGGGGCCAGAATCTGGCCAAGTTATAAGAAGAATCACAGTTTGAACATGCTCAATAGAGATGTCTTAGGTTTTTAGTTGGTAAATTCCCCAAAGATTCTGTATGCACTGAGCATACTGCAGCCTGGGTCTCAACAGGGCATTCTCTGCAATAATAGCACTGGGCTGCTACACCCGTGCCACTGCCAGATGTGGGCACCTGAAATAAGAAGAGGGAGACTCTCTCCAATGGGCACTTGAAGCCTGGGATCAGTGTGGGGGAGAGAGCTGCCTGATTTGAGTGCAGAGAGAATGAGAACCAGGATTGGGGGGCAGGAAGGGGGAAGTAGATTGGCATAAGGAGCCTGTGAGGGGAGGGGAGACTACAACTGTGGGCTGACAGGGGTGGGAGAGGAAACTATGATTGGGAGCAAGAGTCAGATGAGACTGGGAATGGGATCTGGGGAGGTAAATGGGGAAGGGATGGGCAGATTGAGATTGGGTGAGGAGCCAAGTGTGGAGACTGGGACTAGTGGGCAGGGAGATTGGGAAGAGAATCAGTGGGGCGGGGAAAGAAAGGGAGACATATCAGATAAGGGTGCAGAGGTGGAGCTGAGATTACTTGGGCCAAGAAACTAGAGAAGAAGCCGGAAGGGGAGGGTTCACAGCTAGAATTGAATCAGGAACCTGAAGAGGGGGATTGGGACTGAGAGCCAGTGGGGATGGGGATAAGGGACTGTAGGCCCGGGTCGGGGGGAGAGATGGATCAGATGAGGAGCTGGGAGTGGGGACTGGCTGGGAAATGGGACTGGGAACAGGAGATAGGGGATGGACCCAGAAATGGTTGGGAGGGGTGACTGGGACTGGAACAGGCTGAGGGGTGGAGATGGGGACTGACAGGGTGAGGAGAATGAGACTGGATGCATGATTTTTCAACTTTAATAATGTTCTATTAATCATAGAATCATAGAATATCAAGGTTGGAAGGGACCTCAGGAGGTCATCTAGTCCAACCCCCTGCTCAAAGCAGGACCAATCCCCAACTAAATCCTCCCAGCCAGGGCTTTGTCAAGCCGGGCCTTAAAAACCTCTAAGGAAGGAGATTCCACCACCTCCCTAGGTAACCCATTGCAGTGCTTCACCACCCTCCTAGTGAAGAAGTTTTTCATAATATCCAACCTAAACCTCCCCCACTGCAACTTGAGACCATCACTCCTTGTTCTGTCATTTGGTACCACTGAGAACAGTCTAAATCCATCCAAGTTAATGTAACTTTTAGTGTGTGTGCAAAAATATATATTAAAGTGTGTGTGTATATGCACTCTTATACAGTCATATCTATTCTGAATTATTTTTCTGTTGCCTTTTACCTAAAGCTCCAGTTCTCATGCAAACTTTTCTTAATCATTTATTGATTTGTTCCCAATATTTATTCCCCTATACACTTGAAGTAACTATCCTGTTTATCATGTTGCAGTCATCATTTCTATAGCAATAAATTAGTGTCTCAAAGAGGATTACGACTTTCATGTGGAACAAGCAATTGCGACAAACTCAACAACAAAAATAAATTTTCTTCATACAAATAGCTAGAGGTGACAAACAAGGTAACTGAAACATACAAAATTATTAACTGAGTGGACCACTGTTCAAAGCTTTCCATAAAGCTTTTGCAGCTATTTAAATTCTTTCTTTAAGGAAGATCCCGCCAAAGAAGAGAAAATGGAACAATCAGCCTTTGTAGTTCTAAAACCCACATTCGGCCCTCTTCATCTGCACGTGACTCCCTTTAAAAGCCACAGGAGGCGTGTTTGTGCAGGGAAGAGTTTAGCGATAAAGCTATGAAGGAACTCATAATGTATACAGATACAGATCGCTTGTTAGTCTGATTATGTTGTTTATGGAAGAAATGGAGCACCTGCCAGTTTGCAAAAAAAGGGTGTCCTCATTACTTATTATACTAATTAGATTATTGCTTTTTTTTTAACCTGCATAGTGTATTTTTATGCATTGTGCTGTTGATTTTGTTGCACCAGTGTGTCCTGTGTATTTGCTTTTGGTATACTTTTGCTCTTTGCTTCCCATTTTGTCATACTGGTAAATGACTTTATAGACGAGGAAAAATCAAATCAAGTTAAGTAAGTATTTTTATTTATTTAAGCTGCCAGAGAGCAGCAGATTTTGGAGAAGGAAAGAAGAGCAAAACTTCAGTATGAAAAGCAAATTGAAGAACGATGGAGAAAACTGGAGGAACAGAGACAGAGAGAGGAGCAAAAGAGAGCAGCTGTTGAAGAGAAGAGGAAACAGAAGCTCAGAGAAGAAGAGGTGAGGTATACTGCTATGACATATATAGTACAGCCACCACAGGTAGCGTGACTGTTGTGTAGGGATGGTTATGCTTTGATGTGAGCTATCCAATGATTATGGCACTGGGGCTCAACCTTTGTGGCAGTAAGGACCATGCTGGCTACAAGCTGGTAGCCAACAGCTGTGCCTAAACTTACATAGGATTTCAGCGAGCTGCACAGTTTGTTTTTATATGTATCTGTGTGTGTTGTGTATGTTTTATTGAGCACTGTGAATGGTATACAGTACTTCGCAAACTGCACAGAGACAAAATGCTCTGTGGGCTGCAGGGGAGGGAATACCTGTGGGGAAACTGGTACTGCATCTCTGAAAGTTGTTCATTTATGACACCATTAATATCTCTTGGTTTTTTTGGGTGGGGGGGGGGTTAGTAAACAACTCATCTGCAAATTGTGCATATATTACTCCTGGGGGAATTCTGTGCCAAAAAATTAAAATTCTGCACACAATATTTTAAAATTCTGTAAAATTCTGCATATTTTATTTGTCAAAATAACACAGTATAATCACACCAGTTTCAATTATTTTGGTAATTTATTTCAAAATACCTGTCGGCAAATATGTCTGTACAATACAGATGATTAAAAAAAGATTCAGGAAATGTTTTTTGACAAATAGATTCATTACTAGGCACATTAGCACAGAACTCTGAGTAATAATTCATTTAAACTACAATATAGAACCGTATTTCCAACTCCCCTCAGAAGCCGTGCAAAGGTTTTGGGGAGTCCTGGGTAATGGAGGAGCTGAGGCAGAGAGAAGTAATTGCTGGGAAGGAGCCTGGGTGTGAACTTGGTGGGTTGTTGAGTGTGGATGGGAGAAGTATGGAACATTTTTTGTATGGGATTATTAGGGAGCCTCCACATGCAGACCCTGGCTGACCTCTAGGCTCTCTCATTCAGTTATGCACGTGTCCCTGCCCCCCCACTCCCATTCAGTCCCTGCCCCAGTCTATCTCTCTCAACTAGCCCTTCTGAACCCCAGTCTGTGACCCACCCCCCTAGCAGCCCTGTGTGCCCCATGCTATCCCTCCCCCCATATCCCATGTCTCCTGACCTGGCCCCGAGGGCAGGGTGGTGTGAGGTGGGCAGGGTGCTGTAAGGAAAGCAGCCTCTTTTCTTCCCTATCTGCAGCTGGGGATGCTGCCACCCGGGAGCAGCTGCTCTTAGTTCTGGCGCCACGGCAGCCACTGGTGGGTGAAAGGCATAACTGCAGGACTTTTCCAGCAGAGAGAAAAAATTCTGCATGGCACATGAAGTCTGCGGATGCGCAGTGACACAGAATTCCCCCAGGAATAATTATTGTAATATGGGAATATTATGTATTGATGTCCTACTTTATCCTTGAAGTGACGCCACACATTATGCAGGGCAGACTGGAGTCTGGCCGCTGCCAGAGACTGGATACTAGATGAGATGGACCTTGGGTCTGATCCCATGGGCATGTCTAAACTACAGACTTAAGTAAAAATTTGTTAAGTCGACTTACAGCCACCACAGTAATTACTGCAGTGGCTGATATCCACACTACCCTCCTCCTATCGGTGGTGCTCATCCTCACCAGGAGTGCTTCCACTGGTGGAAGAGGAGCAGTGGGAGGGGTTGAGAGCCAGGGCTCTCAGCTCCGCTCACCTCCCCATTGCCTGCCGGGAGCGGGTGCCAGCCGCCTGTGCTTCTTGCCTCTCCATTCCCCACTGAGCGCGGTGGTAGCTGCCCAGGCTTCTCGCCTCCCTGAATGGGGAGCCGGGCGGACATGAACAGCCCAGTGGGGAGCCGGGCAGGTGTAATCCGGCAGGGAGCTGGGGGCAGCTGGGCTCTGGCTGCCTGGCTTTCTTGTCAATTTCAGGGCTGAAATTGACAAGACTGTCAACAGCCAGTGCAAGTAAAGCAGTGTCTGCACAGACACTGCAACGCCATAACTACACTGACATAAGCCCTACGCCTCCTGTGGAAGTGGAGTTATGATGTCGGTGTAGTAGGGCACTTACGTCAGTGGGACAAAGCTGTAATGTGTACTGACATAATTGGGTCAACGTAAATTGCCTTACGTTAACCTAACTCTGTAGTGTAGACCAGGCCTATGTTTGGTCACTGCAGTGTTTTGATATATTCAGTTTCATAGTAGAAAGTCTGTTTATAAATACAAATACTTCCAAAGAATATAGCACAAAGAGAAGCTTTCTTACATAACTCTGGATATATGTTACTTGTTCTCAGACATTTATAGAACTTCAATACATTTTCTTTGTGGGCGTTTGGTCTCTTTGTGTTCAGGTGAACGTGGCTCTGCAAACAACTGGAATATTTATTTTCCTAAGTCTCTGTGCCACTGATTTTATTTAATCTTGAACCTGCTTGATCCATTTGCCCTTTAGGATAATTCATACATATTTTTGAGCATTTCTTGGAAATCTGGAAAGCAATGGAATGCCCTTTCCCAAACCTTCCTATGTAAAGCTTTCAGAAGCAGACAAATGCCGACTTTCCTCCCTGATCCCCTGCCACCTGCAAGAAAAGTCGCCTTTTGTTCCATTCCTCTGGCAGCTGCAGATATGTCCCTTTGCTTCCCACTGAAATGTAATATTTTTAAGCCCTTCAAAAATATTTTTGCAGCCATTCACTCAAGACATGGCTTCCAATCAGCAGAATACAGGCAAAGATTTTCATAGCCTGTTTGCTGGATTTTAGACACACAACTCACCATAAAATTAATCCGTTTGTATGTTTACATCACCTAGTTGACCTTGAAAATCTGAACCACAGTCTTTACTGACCCGTGCAACACAGTTGCAGCCATGCAGTGTTAGCTGCAGAACGATCTTTCCACAAGCTTCCTTGTAGTTTGCTGCTATCCACATAAGTTTTCTACTTATCCTACCCATTCCACATGCATCTTGCTCCTCCATAGAGAGACTCTAGCTGGGAAGCGTGGGTTTCTCTATCTTGTAATTTCAATCAAAACCCAAATGTTAGCTGGATGTTTCTGCTGAAATAACTAGGGCTTTCAATAATGCATGAGTTTAATGTAGCATTCCAAGAGTCAGTTTTTTAAAAATAGACAGGACGAGAGGGAAGAGTCAGAAAATGCAAGGTTATTTTTTCATGTCCTCTTTACACTGTCCACTGACAGATGGAGGATTTTATACATCTAAATACATATTTCCTTTTCCTACCATATCCCATAACAAAACCAGAAAGTCTCACTGGAACATATGTAAATAATCTAGGCCAGCTGAAATACCAATCTTTAGAATAAAAGGGATAAAGTATTCTCAAAGGCTTGTGTGTGCACTTGCATATGCACGCTCTCTGCCAGGGTCAGTTAGTACTCAATTTGGTTTTTTGTTGTGGTGGACAGTGGCCTAATTTCTGATGTAGCTCTCTAAATGCAGAGTGTACATGTGTGTATCTGCACACTTATGGACAGGCCCGCGACATAGGAGACAAGCGTGAAAGGAGACTGCTTTAAAACTCTTTTAATTTGTTTTGTGTTTTTTTCATTGCTAAAGAAGCAACAGATTTCTGATAAATTATGTAGTAACAATTCAGGCAAACCAATAAATATTATTTTATGCAGTGTCAGTGCACTGAAGTATCAAAAAGATGAACATAGAAATGAGTAAAAACAGAAACTGGAAAACCAGAGTCCCTTAAAATAGGGAATTGCATAATGGCAACAATGAAAACGTTTCAGAGTTAGCACAATAACTCACAATAAAATGGGGCATGTTCACATCTCGGAAGAACCTTTGCAGTGGACCATGGCAGTTCCACCCTATGAGGAAGGTTTTAACAAACCATAAAGGGACAGAGACTTAAAATACAGTGTGAAAGTTCCAATTCTGCTGAAAACAAATGGCCACAAGCTTGTCCTGCACTTCCAGGATTTCACTTTAACACTTAAGTTCACCGCTACTATCGTGCTGCTGTTCCACAGTAAGGTTCCTCTTACTATTATTATGTGTTCACACGTGGACAGAGGTTGAAGACGGCTTGGGCCTTAGTAGACACTAGCACTGCTACTGCAGCTTAAGATTAAGAATTAAAAGTTTTTTGAAAAGACAGGGGAAGAAAAAAGATGTCATGGGAAGATGATGACTTTGCTAGAATAGTTGACTTTCACATCTTGTAAGGACACATTCTAGAGAGCCTTGATAACCTTCCCTATGACCAAAACATCTTGCAAAAGAGAGAGAATATTTCCATGTAGTATCAAAATGATTTACTCCCATTTCTCTTCTTTCAGTCTATGTACATTTTGCCCTGACTTTAACTTTAAAAGAGAAAACAAAATCTGGCCTCTCCTACTTTAACTGTGACATCCTGTTTCTATGATCTGGTTCTCTATGTGCTTTACTGTCCGTGGAAATGATTTGCTTCATTTAAAAAAAAAAATTATGGTCTCATACCATATTTGTTTTGTTGGCCCAGATGGAAAATGTTTTTGGTTCACTCCTGCCCCGCCTGAGTGGCAGAGCAAAAAATACAGAACGTTTGGCTAGCCAATCAGCGGAGCAAAAAGTAAACAAAGCTGAGTGGCACAGCAGTCTGGCACCCTCTGGAAGTTGGAATGTAGGGCAACCGTCCTGTTTGCCCACCAATGTGTCATATGAATCATCTTAAGAATTGCTCCTGTTTTACCTTTATAATGAGCAGCAACAGACATCTATCTCCTTCTGAAATTACTTCATTGCCATGACAATACTTTCCCCAAAGATGTGTTAAACTAATTGGACGCAGCTGGAAATGCATATCAGTGATCCATCTGAAAAAAAAAAACGGGCAAGTATAAGAACATAAGAATGGCTATACTGGGTCAGACCAATGGTCCATCTAGCCCAGTAACTTGTCTTCTGATGGCGGCCAGTGCCAGATGTTTCAGAGGGAATGAACAGAAATCATTTAGCAGTGATCCATCCCCTGTCCAGTCCCAGCTTAGGGACATCAGAGCATGGGGTT